TTTATTCAATAATATTTTTATTGTTTATAAAATATAAATTTGAATATATATATATATATCATTTTATTTATAATCAATAAGAAAGAGTTTACTAGAGTAACAAATGTAACATCACGTCTTTGAATAATATAAAAACATCGAAACTGTTCCAAATGTACCTGATAATATATCTACTAACTTACTTTTTATTAAGTTATATATCCATGTAAAATTTATTATGTTTGGTTCTTTTAGTATTTTTCACATATGTTATGGTAATATATCAATTAAAAAATTAAAATAAATATGAAAAGTGCAAATTAATAATTATATTTTGAATTTGCTACTTAGTTTATATATATAGACTTGAGACAATATTGTTTTTCATAAAACACGATTTTTATACTTGAAACTTCAGCACCTTAACAATATTTTTGCTGTTCAGCTTCTTTTACCTTCACAATATATATATATATATATATATATATATATATATATATGTATATATGTATATATAGACTTGGGATCATGTGAGACCAATGGTTTTGCGTGAGACCCGTAAGACCAATTCTCAACCTTTGGATTAGATTTACAATCGTCAGATATGAACATTTATAAACGCCACGAGACTTCTCACTAATTACGAAATTGTCACCTTGCAACTTTGCAACCATTAGATCATTAATTCATAAATTTGATCAATGAACATAAATTGGTCTTACGGGTCTCACGTGAACCCAACCATGTATATATATATATGTATATATATATATATATGTACGTATATATAATAAGTAAATAGATATAAAGTCATTATAAATAAAAAACAAGATGGGATTTTTGTTAAAAAAAACTCTTGTAGAGTTTTGTTGAGTTGACGTTGATATAACAAAAAAATATAGAATCATAAGATTCTTACAAGAACATTCACTATAAATGTTATTAATTCAAGACCTACGTTTGGTACAAGCATATAATTGGTATTAAAAACATGTACTTTAAAACCAACCAATAATTTTTGGTCACCCATGTTTCAATCTAACTAACGATACTTGAAAATTCAAGTTCTACTAAATATTATCAAGTCATTTCCCTTTCAGTAGTTGAAATATATGTCTAGTTTGATTGAATTTAAAGTTAATTCCTTTTGCGATCTCGGAACATCGTTTGCCGACAGAGGTGGCCTTTTTTTACTTTTGTTTTATGTTTTGGTTTATTATTTTTCTCATTCGTTTTGTATGGCAATTGAATGAGACTCGTCCTATTAGAAAACCCGGTGTACCACCTTGACAGGACCAGGGATGGGGATGGGTAACATGATCCCCACTCCGCTCTAGTGGCATACAAAAGTGACCAAAAGTTAGAATTCATGTCATTCTACTCGTCAAACAGCTGTTTAAGTTTGCACCCAAAAGTGACCATCAACTTCTCCTTCCAAACATAAAAAATGGAAATAAGAAATGGGAACAAACTCTAAAACACTTGTCACCTCAGTGATTTACCAACTCCAGTAAGAATCTGACACAAAAAAAAATATAGAAAAAAAAAAATTAATATACCATTTTATCCTGTTCCCACCCTTTCAAGATGTTAAAATTACAGATGCATGTGTATAGATAGCTTCACTCTTCAGCATTGATTCCAAATATCCTGACCTTGTGCATGTGTGGAAACTTGGCAACGACTAGCACGAAAACGGCAAGTGTGTTTAACAACAGCATCGGGTTCTGGTAGTCTGTCGTGTGAGATGCTATTAAATACCTGTATAAATAATCACCACATACACCCATCAAACTAATATCAAACACCAAAGAAAGCAGCAAGCTAATCAAATGAATAGGATTCCTTAAAAAGCAACAGTGCAATGTTTATAGCACGTGGTTATTAACTCGATTAGTTTATAAGAAGATCATTCATTGTTGGACTGTCTTTGTTTTAAAACTGAAGGGTAAATTCTGAAGGGTGGCCATCAGACCAACTTCGTGTACGAGTCTGAGTGTTAGCAGATAAAGAAGGTGCGTGAGAGGAAGATGGAAGTTACAGAAGGGAGGATGTTGAGGTGGACTGTGGACTTGTGGTCAGGACCATGTTGGACAAGATACCGAACGGGGTTTTTAGGTCGGAGCTAGGAGTTGTGCCTATCATGGATTATCTAAGATGGGAAAGATTGTGATAGTTGGCCACATTTGGTGGAGACAGATGCCAATACCAGTGAGGAGGGCGGAGAACATAACAGTCAACGGGATGAGGAGGAGGTGCAAGAAGAGGAGGCCATGGAATGAGCAGTTGTGGCTGGACTTGGCCGCCTTAGACATTTTTAAGTACATGACCTCTGATATTAGTTCTTCTTCGAGATGCATGACTAGGGTGGTTCTTGATTTCAGGTATAAGGTAGCTATTGTAGATGAGGGGATAATTAGAGGGCCGATAGATAGGTTAGCAATGTCATTACTGCTGGGAGGGTCCGAGGGAGTGGATCTTGGCCTAGTATATCAGGTACTTTAGTTTAAAGATGTTTGGTGTTGTTGTTCTTGCCTGTTTTAACCTTTCTTCTCACATGTGTCGTTACTCATCACTGCCTTTATTGTTTATTGTGCTTGTTGCCAGCTTGCGCAGCCCTTGCTACTTGCTATCCAGTTTCTTTTCAAAATCCTCACAACTTATAAAAATCTTAGCAAACTTTCTGTTTCTCTCATGTTTTTCCCAAAGCTTTCACAAGCCCGGTGTCATAACAGAAAGAGTCTTGCTACCCATTGGGTAGAGGAAAGGTGATACGAACATGGATGTTTAGCTGCTGTTTTTATTTCTTTTACTTCCTTATGTCATATTTAGGCATGAGTCCATTATGTTGCATGCTTAAAGTGTCAGTTCGTAGGATGTTGTGTCAAGGGATGGTAGGTTGGTTAGGAGAATATTAGGAGAATATTAGGAGTAATTAAAGGATCATGGTCCTAAATTGATGTCATGGGTCTTTACATTTGCTTGTACGGTTACCATTTGGTTTTAATGCAGAAAGTTCTTGGCCTTCCTTCTTCACTCTCTTCTTTGGAGATCACACATCTCAAATCGGGTTGTAAGTTTTTAACAAAAGGTCTACATACATCCTACCCCTCCCATACCCACCTTTATGTCAAGTATACTATGTACGTTTGGTTTGCTTTTCCAGTACATAACCCAAGGGAATGACTGGAATAGAAATGCAGTGGTGAGAATAATCCACTAAGTTCTAGATCACTTTGACAGATAGACCATCATACATATATATAGAAAATCAAATACAGCCTGAACAACTCAATCTTTTCAAAATTCATGAATAACCATGGAATCTTTGTCAATTAAACATAATATTTATAACCAAAAATTTGGCGCAATGGGGTCAAGAAAGTGAGCAAACCACCAATATATGAATTTGAACAGCAGGAATTTGAACAGCAGTACAGCTTTCACAGAAGATGTGATCAAAGCGGGGCCCATACAAGCGTGTTATCGATGATATTTAATTATTTGTAATTGTGCGTACATTCAACATTCAACGCCTGGATATAATATACTGTCTATGCAAACTCCTAAGCATAAGCAGACGTACTTCAGAACAACTAAAATGATCACAGTGGGATGCTGGGTCCAATAGTTGGAACACTATATATGCAAAATCCATTTTTTGTTACAATTTGAACCCTTCAAAACCATGGGTATGTCCGGACAAGAAGATTTTTGGTAAAACTTCAACTTATTAATTAATGAATCCAACAAGATCTTTTTTGAATTATTACATCATAGCTAGAATTTTTCTAATCAGAAAGACATGTGAAATAGGAAGCATACACATATATATTAAAACCAATAGCATATTAGCTTGTACCAAAAGTTAACAAAACACCTCCGCGCTCCTATGGAATATGAAGAGAGGTCCTAGTTCTCTTCCTAGCAACTGAGGAAACCAAAATATAACCACAGATGGCTCATCAAATTAGTCAGACCCTCGAACTTCTAAACTGGTTTTTCATGGGGTTTATGCAAGAGCAGTAAGTTTTCGAGGTTCATGTAAGTTGTAACAATCCGATAACATATTAATTCTAAACTAAAGCATCATAAGAAGTATAGTCTAATTTACAGAAGAAAGAAACAGTAAAGTCCATGTAATATGCTGCAGATATGACTAGTCTTTTGTACAACTTCAGGGGAAGTGTGTTCATTGGCTATTGTATTTTTGGTATATTATGAGAGGGCACCTTAGTGTAACAGCACACAAAGTAGAAAAGAGTAGGTATTTCACCTTCAAACATAGAGAAGCACGAACCATACTTGTGAGGGTGTGCTAACTCTATGCGATCATCAATCATGACTTTGAGTTTCAACAATTTAAACAAAAAATATATACATGTGATCCAGACACACAGACTAAAGACATCATACCGTGGACTTACCTTTTAAGTGATGGACAAAAACGATAAAGAAACTAAGCATGGAAAAACATGATGGACTGCATCAATAATAACTTTCTGAAGTCCACAATGACAGTGACAAGGAAGTCAGCAGAAATTTAAGAAACTACTATCATTGATATCTAAAGGATATTTGAACAAAATTATCTAGTATGGAAACATAGGGGATATTTACGGTTTTACTTTCAATAGATCTTTAGACGAAGAAAATCTGACTGAACTACACTTCTCATCAATTTCCTAATTTTATATATTCCCTTCATCATTTGATGAGCTCATGGAAGACTATAAGATGATGACCCCCCATGGAGTACACTTTCCTCAACAATATCATGTTGATTGGTTAAGACAAAAAAAACTTTGTAGAAGCATGAAGAATGTACAATGTAGAGGTTCTTTTATTAAATCAGACTAAAATAGGACACACAAGTGTAACCCTAGTAATGCTGATAAGAAAATAGAAAATAAGGTAAGCACGTACATGCAAGGATTATTTTGGAATGATGCATTTTGTTATAGGTTACTAGAATGGAGAGATGATTGGGATATTGATCATAGCATAAAGAGTGGGGGTGGATGAAACGGTAACAACCTTTGAGAGCAATATTGATCGGGAATTCCCTTCGAGTCTGAAAGGTAAGTCATATGGGTAGACACCGACAAGCTGATATGTACATGTTGTAAGTTTACCAGAGATGTGATTGCAGAAGTAGATGCAACACTTGAGGTTAGGTGACACCTTTTGAGAAGACACTAGGATAACACCACCTCACATGATTGGTCATCTCCATTCTCAAGCAAGACCTCTGAATGAGTAGTTAGAAGATGCTTTTACCCAGAGAAAGTCATTAGGAGAGATAGGTATCATTCAAAATTGACATGGGTTAAGCAAAAAGGGAGATTTGAATAAGTGGGGTATATCTAAGGAGGCGGCCACCAATAGGAGTGTATGACCACACCTTAGGGGGTTGCTTCTTTATAATTTCCATCTGAGTTCCATTTTTAGTCTACCAGACCCAACCAGTATTTAATAAAAGGCTTGTTGATATTAATGTTTATATTTCCTTCATTTTCACTTAGTAGTCAATTAGGAAAAGATAAAGTTCCAAGAAATACTACATTTAGAGATGTCCCTTCTTGTACTAAAAGTGTTGATACAACCCCCATCAATTAATATAGACCGAGTATTTTCTGATTGGTTGGCAATCTTTGCTCTTACCAATGCTGTCAAAGGTTAGGCATCAGATTTTTTTCTGTTCTCCAAGTCCTTACTATCCTACTATATATGCCTATATGGTCCAGCATCAACTCCACAACAATCAAGAATATTCAGAATGTTTGCTTATCTGTCAACAGTTTGATTCAATTTCTTCGTATCACTTATTTCCAAGCCAAAAATGACATATAATCATAGATAGAGCTCAGCAAAGTATTAATTGTAATAATATCCAGTATGATTTGCATCATCAGAAAATCCCAGTAATATAAGCTACGCCCAACTTATATGATTACTAAAGTAAATAGCGAAAACTTACAGCACCACAGGGACAAGAGTAATAAACTTCCTGTTGCGAGTGAGCTGCTTGCCACTATCAATTTGCTCCCACCAGGTCAACCTGTTGTAGATACCCTGGTCATCAGCAAAAGGTGTTCCCTTTTTCCAGTGGAAGAAGTGGTATGTCAACTGATAAAAACACAAATTAGCACTTCAAATTTAGGCCAACTGACAAGCATATACAAGCAATCAAGATGCAAGTTATAAACTTCTTAGACATACACTAAAACTGTCTGAACAAGTTTAATTGTCCCGGGCTATGCCTAGACTATTCCCAGAAAACTGCGACCGTAAGACATCAGCCCTAATAAACTCAGTGGCCACAGTTGTTGTGGACGCCTGGAATTGAACCCAGGCAAGATCATATATTCCACCACCTAGGTGCAAGTAGCGTGGAAAAAATAATTGAAGGCTTGATGCAGAAAAAGTTTGTGGAAACCTCAATCAAGAACACCACAAGCACAATATGCTTGACAACAATCTGACTTATCCATGCATGTCTTACTAATGGCATTAGAATTGTAGCTACTTCCAGCCACATGTTTAAATAAATTTGTGGCAAATAAATCAAGTGGTTAGAACCAAGGAACAACACCAACATCAACAACACCATGTAAATGTTGACACATTCATGTCCACTTTAAACCCCTTTGCCTAGCTTCAAATTGTTTTTACTCTGTTTGTCCGCAACTCGGAAATTCAATTTCCATACAAAAGCATACATATACAACTTGTTGACGATCATTATACATATACATATAAAGATTACATAAAGAAGACAAAGCATCGACCAACTGGAATGCGCATATTAGTAGGTATATGACGTGTATCTTTCTTCACAAGATGCACCTGTATATTTTCCATAATAGCACACAATGCCACCTTGATTCACAAATTATATCAGTAGTAGTTGAGACTAAAAAAAGGCCAAAGACATAGATGTTATCTCATCAACATCTTGAGATAGAGTCCAAACCCTAAGTAGTAAGTAGAAATTATAGATCATATGAAACACCAATAAACACGATCTAAAAAACCCAAGAACATACCTGCAACAATTAGAAGAACAATGTAAAGTCTATTACTCACCTAAATTCATCTATACGTCCTCATCAATTCTATAATAACCAAAAAGACCAATGATAAAAAATAGATCAAGGCATCAAGCAATCTGTAATCAAAAGAATTCAGGCTTTAAACCCTAAATCCTTGAACATAACATCATGAATGCATCAACCTAAACAGAAATCTTAAAAATTGGCTCTCACACAATCGTAATCAGCTAATCACCGATGTAAAAAAGAAGAAATAGGAACAAATACCAGAGCATGAGAGAGATTGACGGTGGTCCAAGCCATGCCAGGAGAACAACCGAAAACAGAGAGAACTACAAGCCAAGCGAAGAAGAGGATGAGTATGTAGGTGGTCCAGACGCCGGGGTACGTGAACCACTCCGTATTCCTATTCAGATCCGTCGGCGGCTCCGCTTGCACATACAAATTGGCCATGTATCGGCGCAGTCGGTCAAGCTTTGATAGAAGGAGTGGTGGAATCGTTGTTTCCTGTGGAAGCTTAGCTCCGTCGTGTGTAAGCTGGAATGATTCGTGTAGTTGTTGCCGATGGTCTGGTCTGCTCTATGGTGATGATGGATTATTGCTCCTTGATGACGATGATTATCAGCAAACTGAGACAACTCAAAAATAAAATAAAAGGTAACAAATTCTTTGGTAGATTTAAATCTTGTCCGTCAAAAATTAGACACAAATGGTATGAAAAATAATTCACGACGAATTATTTAATGGTCTTAATGGTATGTATGCACCCCCTACATGCCTATAAGCCTCAATTAATTAGAGCCGGAGTCGGTTTATTAGCAGCTTAATAATTTTAATGGGACTGACAACCTATTTGGTCAGTTATATATCGACTTCATCAATGAGCTTTTTGTGATAGTTTTACACAGAAATCCAAGTTTTTTTTTCCAAAACCTACTATTTCTTATTAAAAAATACGCTTCATTCATGCTTTCGTCTATGAGAAAACCTTCACAGACAAAAACATTTTCAGCCTACACACATATTAGTAATTAATTCACACAGACATCTTTATCCGAACAAAACTTACTGGAAGACCAAACAAATAGCATCTCAATTTAACCCCTAAACCTCGTATTTTTTCCACCCATACTTTTTGTTAAAAAAGACATGCTCGAGCTCTCAATATCTGTTGCTCCCCAATCATCAGTGATCGACAAAACAGACGTTGTTCATTCTCGTCATCACATTCAGATCTCCGGAGGTGAATGAATTAACATGACAATCTTTGTTTAATTGTTCCTTATTCAATTTCTTTCTAATTTCACATTTAATCTAGAAAGAGAGCATAATGGAAAAAAACAGTCAAACATCAACTACATCTTAGGGATTGTTTGTTTACCTCTTAATAGTTCCATTAACAGACAGCCTATGAATCGTTAAGAGGTAAATCTTGTTTGACAATTTTTTTTTTTTGCCTTTTAATGGTTTTAAAACTCTTTGAATGATTTTGTATCATGGGTCTCCTTTAACCATTCAACGCCCTAATTTCATTGTAAACAATTATCAAATAATTATATTTCATTTTACATTATATCATAAAAAGCCTCTTAATCATGTTGGCACCTTAATCATTCTGCACTAAACCATTCTGCAACGGCACTATACCTTAGTTCAACAAGTGTTTGTTGCTCAAATTTATTTCAAGGGAGGTTCAAGCTAGTTTTAGAAGTTTGAATAACTAGAAGATATTAAGCTTACAACTTATTAATGCATATCTAATAAAAATCAAATTTACAGTACATAAAAAAATTGAAAACTCAAATTTTATAATCTATTGAATCAATTAATAAACACGTTCATATATATATGATAAAAATTAAACTCTATTAATACGATACACTGCTTTATAAATTTCAGAGATTTTTTTATGTGTATGCCATTTTTAATTCTCCGTTTACAATAAAATTTTACATCTCATTACATTGCACAGATACAAAATTAGTATTCCATAAAACAAACTAAATCTAATAATTTAGAAATATCTATCAGAATTGTGTTTTAGAATAACAGCAAACTGAATTCAAACTCTAATTGATCTTTCAAAGTAAATATGGCATCAACTTAACTTCAGGGCCACCATTGATGAGCCCACAAAGATGAACAAACGGTCAAAGAACTCAAGATTAGGCTTCAAATTAGCAACTGAAAATTGCAAACCACCCAAGAAATAAATCAAGGTTCTTTCTATATATAGTAATAATAACCTTTCTAACTTGGTAAACTTACAACCAGTATATGATCACAAGCTCACAGTAGCTTTCCCAACTCTATCCAACCCTTCCACCAATCTTCTTTTTGCTGATTTTGTTCTATAACACCATATCTCAAAAGCTTCACTCAAATCTGGATACTTCACTTGCTCCCCATTCATCCAATCTGCTAATATATCAGCTTGATCGTTTGAAGGAAGTGCCGATAACAATGCCACAATTGCCCCTTCGATATTCTGGCACAAATCCTCATCCATCTTGTAAGGATATCCAGTTTCTTCGTTTCCAATTGAATCAAGAACGGGTTTCATCTGTCTGATATAAGGAAGCCATGTTTTCACTAGCTCCACTCGACGTGCAGCTGGAATGATCACATTTCCATATCCGACTGCATCTAAAACCTTCCCGGTTAGTTCTACAAGCTTCAACTTCAAACCCCACATGCTACTTTTCAAAACTTTGTCTTCCATAACCCCGATTACCCGATTGGAAAAGTCAATCCATTGGTCCACAAATTCTTTCATTAAGTCCATTTTGGAAAGAATGTTACAAATCCATCCAAGATCTGATAAAGACTGCATTACTCTCTTCTCTGTTGCCTCCTCGTCCGCCTGTGAAAGTAAACAAGAAAGTTCCTTATCGAACAATGAACAAATGTTTGCGAGTCCCTTCTTTGACTCTGACTTCACTTCTTCATCAGCTATGACTAGAGGGATTTCTTCATCATCGTCACCCAACATGTACTCGACTTGTTCTTGAGCCGAAGTTTTCAACTCGTCCCCAAATGGAGGGGATGGTGAAACAATAGACGTGGCGAAACGGATAGCGGAAAGGAAGACATTTTTGGTACCACTAAAGTCCACGGGTTGAACCCTGGCTAGTATAGGCATTGCTTCTGGACCCAGTTTCGAGACTACTTTCAAGATTAGTTCTTCTTCTGTGTCCTCCCACGGAACAGCTTCTAAGTACTGAATGCAGCTGTCGATGATCTGTTGACAGTTAAACTCAGTTGCTACTTGAAGAACACCGAGAGCAGAGTGGACAGAGTTCCAAGATTCCAAGAGAGCTTCTTTTGAATAATAGAGGCGTCTCAAAAAGTCAACATGGTGTTCATAGTTAAAATCTAAGCAATAGATATCAATAGAAGTACCACAATTTGGATCAGAGAGTTTATCCGCAAAGAACTTGCTCTTTTCTTTGAGGATTGATGAATGCAAATAGAACAGTTCAGGTCTTCCTTTGCTGTTCCTCAGACAAACAGTGACATCACTCGTCTTTATGTCGTTAAGCCCAAAAGACACTGATCTCTGACTTTCCATGTGTTAGATAGGTATGCTACCACTTTCATGCTTTCTGCAACAAGGAGACATCATTACATCAAATCATATTCGACAAAAATCAAATTGCATCCACGAAACTTGAAGGATTCGTATTTGATATTAAAGTCGAAATCTCAGTCTCTTTCACTACGAAAATCGAAATATACTTTTTCTGATAATACATTAATATAACAACGAATACACAATAACACAAAAGGGGAAAGAAATCCAAGTGAAGATAACAGATTCATAAAGTTCTGAAACATTGATGTAGAAGTTACAACATCAAAGCAAAGATCATATAAAGAAATATCATAAATAACATGACTCAATGCCCATACATATATATAGGGTCGGGTTCAGGGAAATGGCAAAAAAGTGAAAAATTGAGGAACACCTTGGCTATCGTTCATCTAAAAGGTATGCACATGTGCATACAAGTAATTTATAAACAATTTGTCCATATGCACATGTGCATAAGTCATAACATGCACACATACATAAAAACCAAAAAACAACTTCAATTACATGTATGTACAAGTGCATACCGTCCAGATAAATGATTACCAAGGTGTTCCTCAGTTTTTTTGGGTTTTCTCTAAACCTCCCTCTCTCTCGCTCTCATATATATACACACACACACACAAACACAAAGATAAACCACAGCTCAACCACATAATTCGAATAACATAGATGGCCATTTTGCATTCTGCTGATTCCTTCAGGAGTAAACAATCAAGAACAGCAAGAACATTTTTTTTATGCCAAACTGTTTGTTATTGTTCATGGGAAAGTACTAGTTGTTCTTCATAGAAGTTAATAAGCTATACACCACCATTGACCACATCCCAAAAGTCAATATTTGATTTTGTACAAAAAGTGTACTTCAATTGTGGGATGGAACAAGTATTCTACGCTCATGATATTTAGCAATTCATCTTTGCCAACACAATTATATGATTAACGCTCACAGCCGACGAGATGTAAACAATTAACAATCGGAGAACTATTGTGATCACAGAGAACTAACACCAAACAATAAACACGAATTGAACAAATATGCTGATCACATCAAAGAAAAAAGCCCTAGTTTTGGAAAATATTCACAAGCAGTTGAACAAATACTAGATTCAAAAGATCGATCTTCGCCATCGAAGCTAACGAATGCACAACGAAACAAAGATTCAGATATCCATAAAATGCAAAATTAATCACGATTCGAATTGGGAAAAACAGGAATAAAACATTTACCTTGTTAAATCACTGATTCCCCAAACATGGATGACCGAGAAAATCGTTCGAACATTAAGGCAAGAAGGTAACTTGATGAAATGGATATGGAAAGAAGAGAGTGAATCGAGATGGGTTGAAGTCGAAAGATCAAATGGATAAGAACAAGAAGGATATAAATTAGGGTTTCGTGAGATGAGCTAACGCCTTGTTCTGCAGAGAAGATATCCAAGTGTCCATGGGAGGACAACAATACACTACAAAAGGATAAACTTTAAATTGACAAAATTGCCCATGCTTTTTTACCGATGATTGGTTGATGCAAGTGTCTTCGATTGGAAAATCAAGCATTTAACTTTGAGTTACCAATAATCAAAGGCATATAATTTTGGGAAAGCACCCAACTTTTATATAAAAGACAATTTGCATCATTTAGGTTCCCATGAGAATAAGAGTTGAAGTAAGAAAAGTTCTTTCAGTCTTGAATCCACATTAGAATGAGATGCATCGAATCAATCTTGTATCAAACGCGATTCATGGATAGAGTTGAGATTAAAGGTGATCAAAAATCCAGATATCATCTCATACTTTTCATCTTAACCCTTATTCTCTCACAATTTTCACCTATATATTATAACCCAGAGTCAACGTATGGGTCAGTTTTCAATCACGTTGCCCAGGGTCCTTGAAGAACAACCAAGAAAATCTCCAACAGCCTTGCAGAACTCGAACCGATAACGTTTGAAAAGGATCCCAAAAACTCAAGACTTATTGTCAATTGAGTTATACCTATAATATTACGATATTACGTTAAGTTCTAAAATTATTTAAAAAAAAATCAAATCAAACGAACCCATAAATAAAATACGATGATTAAAGAACTACTTTATTTTCTAAAAAGAAGGTAAAGGTTGGACGGGTAAGTTGATGATGTATTTGGGCATCCAAGTTGCATGAAGATGGTTTAGTTTAGTTCAAGTTGGGGCAAGTTGCATGTGATGTGGGGTCTTTTGTTATTTTCAGAAATATTGTAACATAAGCAATAATCATATCTTACCTATATAATATTATGAACATTTGTTTCCATTAATAAACATAATGTTTAAATATTTGGGTTAATACTTTAATGTTGGCTTAATAATTAACAAATTAATGGAAATGAATTAAGTTGGTTTTTCAAATCATTTTGAAGGATGTGTGGATAGATAGATTATAGATCTTGAAGTTCATTGGGCCCTAAGTAGCCCAGTTCCAAATAATATGCAATTCAGTTTTGATAAATTGGACCTAAAATAAGATTTTTATATACGGGAAAGATTTAAATGAGAACAGTACAAATAAAAGAATATAAAAATGGTCAAATCACATGTAAAGTTATATGTGATTATATTATATTATATATCATCTTTACACTAATTGTCAATGCAAGGGTGTCCGGTTGACGTGGCCTGCGGCCTCATGTTACGGTCAAAGTCATGTGAATCACATGTGATTTTGATTCTAGTGTAAAATCACATGTGATTACTACTTGATACATAATCAAGTTGTAAAATCTTCAAACCGTAGGTATTTGATTGAAATTGAGTTATGGCTAATTGAACCCAACGCAACTCGATGAACGCGATACCTTTTGATACCACGAGTTTAATATAATTGTTGGTCCTAATGGAAATGCTCATCCAAATATATATTTTTTAATATCTCTTATGTAATTGTTAGTTTTTATTTGTATGTTCCCTTTTTGATTTTAATTCATTTAAACACGATCGTTTAACTAGATTAACCACAAGGGTGGTGTCTGATTGGTTTGAACTTGGCTCCAAATGTCAAAAGTACCAGGAGGTCTCAGGTTCAAATCCAAGGAGGAATAAAAATCTCCTTGTGGCCACGGAGGTTCAAATACGGTGACTCCGGACTATCTGCAAAGCAGGTGGTCGTCCTGGGATTAATCGGCTCGCATAGCGGGTTGGATATCCAGATTAATAAAAAAAATTGTTTAGCTAGATTTCAAAATGATGTACCGTAGTTTCAACCCGACCAATTCGTCATCCCAATCCAAACCCGTACGGTTTGGGTTGTACTTTTGTTGGGTTGAGTTGAGTTGAAAATTTTCAAACTGCAAACATTGAGTTGAATTGTTCAAATGTCCGACCAACCCATTCTATGTTTAGTTTTGAGAAAAATAATATTTGTATTTGCATGAAAACAACGGTATTGACGTATATGAAACCAAAGTTTAATTCGAATGATTGCATCTTTTTTGTCGAAATAATATGTTATCGTAAACTTGATGGAGAAAAGTATGCAATTTTTTTTAATAACTTTGAGATAAAGCTTTCTTTTTTATAATCAACGTTTTATTTTTCTAATTCTACTTTTGATCCACGATTTTACTTTTTATTTTACTGAATGATATTTTAATTAATGTGACTAATAATTCAAGCCTTTTTATTAAATAAAAGTTTGTTGTGGAAAAACATTAATAAATATTGTTTAATAAAAAATAGGATGTATTATGTTGACCTTAATGTCATTTTAGAGTGTGTTTGATACACTGGACATGCCAAAACAAAATATGAATCATTGTTTTGCTTTTTGTATGATTTTTATGTAGAATGGACATGAACAAAAGTGGAACATACATGTTCCATCCCACTATTTGGAATAAGTTGGAACAGACTTACTTATGTTTTATCAATATAACTTTAAAATAATTTAATTATCTTCTAAAACATCAAATAAGCCTCTCTTTTTTACGTTTTATTCATTCTTTTAATTTTATTTATTGTATTTTATGTTTTTTAAACTTTCATTTTATTGTTTTTAAAATATATTTTTATATGGTTTCTATATTTTGATTAATTTATGTAATTTATTAGATATTAATAATAAAAAAATAATATAGAAAAGGTATAAAATAAAATTTGGAAACTACATAAACGTTTTCTTTCTGTGTCATTTTAATCGTCTTGACGAAAACTTTCTAATGATATATTTTGTTATTAAAATATTTATTTTATTAATAAATTACATATAATTAATCAAAATATATAAACAATACATTAGAGGTAATTTGGTCATTTTATCTGTTCTGTGTTGACGAAATTCTATATACCAAACACTGAATAATTGTCTATCATGTTCTGTCTTGTCTAGATATCAAACACACACTCATGGATGTTTTTAATAAAAACCTATTTTTTATATTTTTTTGGTCATATCATTTCCAACTTATCAAATTAAAAACTTAAATACAAGTTCACTATACAAGTTATTATAAGAACAATTTTTATGGGCCTCGTATTTTTTAACGTCAATAAATAATTATAAAATCAATAAAATATAAATAATGACACTAAAATGCTACTTCTCACCAAGCTTAAGGTAAGAAGCAAATTATTATATAAGAACTTAAAGGATGTGAGGTTCTCATAAAAAAAATCTACACAGAGTTATCCAAATTTGAAGAATTTAGCATTCTCTCTCTCTCTCTCTCTCTCTTGTTTTATTCATTTTGGATAAGTTTTGTAGGATCAGTTGTAACAAAAATTTGTCTAAAATCTTTATTTTAAATAAGAGAATCTCCAATTGAGATTGGTATAAGAACCTATTTTTTTATTATCATATCATTTTCAAGTCAGCAAATTAATAACTCATATAAAAGTCTACAATTATAGTTCTTAGAGTAAACTATAATTTTGGTCCCTCTGGTTTATATAAATCTACGAAAGTGGTCCTTAAATTTCAATAACTACAATTATCATCCTTAAGGTTTACAATTTGCTTAGAAAATGGTCCCTATTCACTAACTTTGTTAGATTAATCCGTTAAGTAAGGGGTATTTTGGTTCTTATATCTTTTTTTCTCCTTTTCTTTCTTGTTTTTACTCAAATGAGAAATTAAGGGCCAAAATGTAATTGTTTTTCTATATTTTTGTTATATACAATTACACACACAATATATATACATATAAACAAAACACATAGATACACGTGTACATATATAATCAAACGCGTTTATAATGCATACATGTGCGTGTGTGTATATATAATCACATTTGTTTAGATTAGTGTGTGTGTGTGATCATAATGGTTTGCAGATCGAAGGGGGTTTCTTCTCCAGTTTTGGTATACAGCCTGTGTGAGTAAAGAAAAAGAGAAGGACAAAAGAAAATTATAGTTTGATTAAAGAAAAATAAAAACGGAAAAACGAGATAAAATGACCAAAATGCCCCTTACTTAATGGACTAATCCAATGGAATTAGTGATCAGGGACCATTTTCAAGGCAAAACGTAAACAATAAGAATGATAATTGTAGTCATTAAAGTCTAAGGACCACTTTCGAAGATTTGTGTAAACCACAAGGACTAAAATTGTAGTTTACTTTAGTTCTTATAACAAACTTTTTTGTGGGGCACATGCAATTTTTGTCGGTATCAATAATTATTATATATCTATATATGAATGTATAAAAAGGAACTAGCAAATTGTTATTTCACATAAACTTCAAGGTAAAAGCCAAAGTTTCTGTACAGAATTCAAACGGTGAGGTTCTTACAAGAACTCTCTACAATATTAGTTTTTGTAAGAAACTGCATTTTACCTATAAAAACCTTGCATTAGAGATAATCTTACTAAATTATTCATATGTAATTTAAAACCTAACAACCTTATACAATTCTTTCACTCGTCTACATCACATTACCTATAAGTATTTACATGTTAGGTCGTCATCTCTAGCCTCGTCTACATATCAGACTTATCCTTAGTTTAGATCTTGGTTGGGTTGTATCGAAACGTTGAAAATATAAGACACATATTTTATTTCGATTTACGTTAAAATAGAAAAACTAATAAAAAGATATAAATCAAATGAAAAATGGTCAATTTAAAATCAGAATCCATTCATTTTACCGTAAAATATAAGTTTGGAGGTGGGGCACCCAAATTTGCCATCAAACAGTGACATAAACCGTCCTGCGAATCCAAGAAAATAGGCGGTCGTCAATCCTACATAACACTTTTTAAAACCTTTAATATTTTCCTTAAAATATCTTTATTTATAAATTAAATAAAAGTTGAGAATTTCAAACATAAAAAATAAAATATTAAATCAGATTCCATAAACAATGTAGTAGAATCGTTAGTTAAACTACTACATGATATTTTAATTATGTTTAATAGTGATATAATATTGGACTTATAAAAAAAATAAAGGAATAACCGTACGACTTAAAACGTATATATT